CCCGTATACATGAGCATCAGTTAGCGGTGAAGAGACGCGACCAGCTATCCCAGGTGGCCATGCACACACTAGACACTGGGCATAAATTCGCATGGGAGAACACTCGCATTGTTGGCGCCTGCCAAACAAGAAAAGGCCGCGATTTCCTGAAGGCAATGCACTCAGATGAGGCATGCATCAACCGGCATATCGATTTAGATGCCACATACAAAATCGTTAAGGACAGATTCAAACTGAGTCAGCCAATCCCGAGATGACAACCTTATCCAATCCTGGACTCCTTTTGTTAGACTCAGTCTAAAAGTTAATTGTTTTTGCACACCCGTTGTCTGAAGACGAGCTGGGGAACCAGTCTCGAAAATTCGCAATAAAATTTTGCTGTTTCCCAAAGAACTTCACTTTTCTAAATATATTTCTTGGGATGCCTGTTTTTCACTTTATTATCTACATGGAACACAAACATTTAATCAGGAAATATATATGCCATATTGTAATCTGGTTTTTTTTCGTCATCCTCTGCACACATAGTTTGACTGTCTTTGCCAACAATGGCCACTATGTTCTCCGAAGCACGGGGGTAGGGAAGGTGACCTGCGCGTTATTTAACCTAAGGCGACTTGCGCTGCACCCAACGCACTCTATCTCTATCTCCTCCACCTGGATCCAGTGTAAAGACACAGTCAAAGACCCTGGAGGAGCGAGGATACGCGGGTGGCTGACGCATCGAAAAGCCCTACTTAGGCGCAACACCTCCCCTTCAGTTTCACAGCATACGCCCAACATTATTTTATGCAACTGCGCAGATCCCACTTGGCGCGGCATGAGTCCGCACGTAGGCCTGCCGTCATGTCCCCAATGTTCGCATTTGTTATGGGTCCGCATTCCCAATGGCGCCTACTCAACCCCAATCTAGCCCCTGTGTTTGTTCAACGCATCTACCGCGTGACCTGTTTGGGGGGATAGCTCTGAACACATAATGACCTAGTTTCACCAGTATTTCGACTTAGTAGTATCGTTTTAATTTAAGGTTATTAAGTAAATAGTTGTTTTTAAATTTAGGAGTACATTCTAGGTCTTATAGGAAGTAATTTAAGCAGATTCGGGTAGTAAATTCATTAATTGAGAGAAGATATTTGGCCTGTAAAAGGCACGATTTATCTACGTAGAACGATTTTACGCCGGATACTTCGCCTTTCCCTATCATTATTTAAGAAAAATAACAAACTCAGAGAACAAATATTCACCGTTACTCCATTGGGAAGTACGTATCAGATGACCGGAATCCAGCTTATCTCAGGCAAGTCTATTGCGACCTCATCCGTGACCATAGAGCTTGAATTTCGTGCTAGATAAAGGCGGCTTATATTTACAGGTTTGAACCAGACGTATAGCAACAAGCGAATCATGTCATGGTTCAGGCTTAGTTACTGCAAAATGATGCTGCTTGGTGCAACAATCAACATTTTACTACAATCAGCTGATATGCGATCCATCATTTCTGTTTTTTAACTCGTTTTTCAGCGCCTGATTGCTGGATAAGCTGCGTGTCTTAAAGCAAAAATTAATTGTTTTTAATATCCACCACCTCAGTTTCTTTAGGTTTTCCTGGTGTCATATTTACACACTTTATTTAATCACAGTGAGATGTCAAAAATTGCATTCACACGGCAAGTTCCCTTTTAAAAATACAAGTTTTCGTAACAGCTTATCTTACCCACCTTCCGATTATTATGTAATCGCGGCAGAGTTCGGCAAATTGAAAAACCACAACTACTTGTATTGGCATCTTTATTTTGGAGTCCGGATTTTAAATAATTCCTCAGAATAGAGAAAAAGCAATTTTAGGCGAATTGAATTACCAAAGCTGGTCAGTCACTAAACAAAATAGCGGTTACTTCTCTCCAATGTTACTAGGAATATTGTACCCTGTTGATTACGATGA